AGCTACAACTATGCCAAGTTTGGTGCTTTTGTAAGCTCTGTAACGATCAAGACCATAAGAGACCTGACTATTAATTTTTAACTCACATGCACCGGAAGTAATGTTGCTAGTAGTTTCTGAAGGGAAGTTCTTGGGGGAAAAACGCCTGCAAAAAGCTCAAATTTCCTACTTAAGGTTAGTAACAATTTAGGGAACGCTTTATAATATGATGTGAATGTATTTTTGCAAAAAATCTGACAAAACATTGAGTGCCCTTGAGGGCTTTGATTGCAAATAATGTCCCATTTGCGTGGCTCTAAAATTTAGGAGCCAGTTTTCAAAAATTCTTAATTTACGTTAATTCAGTACCTAATATACGCTTGAACTTGTGTTTTGATAAGTTGTTTTTGAGGATTTCCAGCAGTTTGTTCGCCAAACATTTCAAGCTTTAGTTCTGCTTTCGAAAGAGCAGCTTTTGTTGACATACATATGATATGCATACAGTATATGGCGTCAGTCGAAAGGATCTAATCTTTGCTCAATATTCGTGATTTATTCCTTCGAATTGTCTCTTTCTTACAACATCAAAACGTTGGAGTCAGTACATGAAGATTTTGTGTTGTTTATTTTAAGCATGACTCATCTTTTCTGGTCTCTGAATTCAGACGGAGTAGCCTTAGTAAATCTAGTCTGTTGGAGATAAGATTATGCTATTGGTATCATAAACAATTTAATAATATTAGGAGACTTTTTGAATTATACAGTTCACCTCCTGCTGCCTTAACATGTATCGATGTAAACATACAGACAAAATATCCATCGTACCTCCCCTGTGAAGAGTGTATATAGGCCGATCTTTATTTACGTTTTTTTCCTCATGAGCATTACAAAAAATTTCAAGCTACAAGCAAATCGACTCCAGAAAGCGAAAGAGAATGTCTTATTTARTAACTACTGAAAATTTGAGAGTAATATATTCAATATTTTGAAAGCAAACTTTTTTGAAAACAGTATTAATTACAAAGAAATGTATGGTCGTGTGGCAAGTCTTATGTCCAATACTTCCTTTGAGGATTTTTTTGGGGGAAGTAAATGCTTGAGCAATCAAAATATGAYATGGTTTTTTACAGTTGATATGCATTCAGCTGTCTGAATGTATATTGTTACACTTTAGATTGGACTGAGAAAATTAACGTCTACCCAAGATTTATAACTGGGTTTTCAATTAGGTTTTATTATTGCATTCACCATCACCATCATTATTATCACCATCATCAACATCATTATGAATCATCACCACCATCATCATTACTAACATCACCATCATTACCATTGTCATTATCATTACCATGCATCATCATCACTATCATCATCACCACCATAATCATTGTTACTATCATCATCACCATCACCATCATCCTCATTACCATCACCATCATCATTATGAATCATCAGCATCATCACCAACCATCATCATTGTCATCATCACCATCACCATCACCGTCATTATCACCACCACACCCTTCGTCATCTTCATTGTTGCTATCATTGTCATCATTGTCATCATCATCATTTTATATCTTTTTTACAGGTCATTCCACTTGTAAAGCAAGAAGATATTAAAAAAGAGCCAACCTTGCTTAACTGCCTAAAATGAAACAAAACAGCACAGAAGTTGAGCCACTATCAGCCATCRACATTGCTCTGACCATATCTTTTGCCATCTTATTGATTGTCAACCTTATCAGCAACACTCTTGTCTGTTGGGTTATCTGGAGATATAGAGAGACGARAAACCTTATGAATTATCTTGTGGTGAACCTGGCCCTCTCAGATATCATGGTTGCACTGTTTATTGCACCACAGYATGTGCTGCGGCATTTGTTTAAACATCCAGAAGGCATTGCAGGAGATGTGTTATGCAAATTAGTAACAGGTGGMAACTTTATTTGGACAGGTAGGTTCATGTTATTTCATCCATCCATGCTTCCATTTATTATTCCATTCATCAACCTATCCTTCCATTCATAGCAATCCACTCACTTTAGTGGCCATCGCCACTCATTCATTTTCCCATTCATTCAGCAGGCGTAGCACAGTTGGTTAGTGCGCGACCTTCAGAGCTCGAGGTCCACGGTTCGATCCTTAGGATCTCCACATCTGTTTCGACTTCTCTCTAATCCATGTAGCTTCAGCTTTAAATACTCTTAAAACAGAGCACTGATGGAGAGGGGGGGTAAAGTGCACACCGTCRGCTTCCATTGATAACAGTTGAATTTCAACTGAAGGAACTACCGACATTAGATATAGGTACTTTACCTTTTTCTCATTCATCCATCCATCCATCCTTCCATTTATCCATACATCCATCTATCCATTATTGTACCCAGACCCTTCTCACCAAAGAATCAATTTTTCGCTAGGAAAGCTGAGAAGGCTTTGGGTACAAGATTTGCCATCTCCACTCATTCATTTTTCCATCCATTCATCCATCCATCCA